ATTTACCATTTACAAATTTATAAAGAAACAAATGTGAAAACAATATTCATAAATTTATAAATATTTACTAAATTATTAAATGTAATATTTATAAATATACCATCTATAAAGAAATCATTATTTACCATTTTATAAAGTTTGAATCAATTGGCAATTAGCCGATATTTTGCCAACCATTCGAATAAACAATTTAGTAGTGTAAATAAACAATCTAATAAATAATGTTTATTATTTTTGTTGTCAATTCTCAACAAATAAAATACATAAATTTACTTTCATACATTTAGGTTTTATTAAAATTCTAATGATCGCTTTTTAAAACAAACATTACTGAAATGTGAAGGTAGTTAGAATAAAAGCAGTGTGAAAGGGAAAAAAAAATTGTCCTTTTGATACAGTTTTTTTGCAGGAACAAATTTTAAAGATTGCCCAAAAATCTATATATCCATCCATTCTTTATTTATAAGAAATCTTTTTGTAAAATAAAGTCGTTTTTTTCTATGCAGATATCAATGATCTCAGCAGAGTTTCAAACTTTACATTTGTAAAGCAACTAAGTTCAAATAACTCTGCGCAAGTCAGTGGGCGATTTTACACTACATCAATGTTATGAACAGGACTACTTGTAAAATGATAAATCAATATTTTCCAATTGTGACAAGTATTTGTCATGTATCTTACATTTTCTACACAAATCAGATGATGACCACTTAACGACCCAAAGCAGACTGCATAAACGTTTTCTACACATTTGGCCCCATACATATATCCACTTTAACCAAAACAAAATTAATAATATATTATGAGCAGTCAGAGAGACTCTCACTCAAAAAACAAAACCTTAATTTCAAGACAACTAAAAACTATATATACCCAAATACAAACAGACTCAACACTGCCCAGCATTTGATGCCAACACTGACAGGCTGATGCCACTGATAACAGCCGCCACTACCAATGTTCATTTCACTTCTAATTTCACCACTCTTTCTCCCTGTTGCCTTAGTAACAGCAACAGATAGAAGTTACCAATCTTTGTATACATGTAATTATACATTTATTCACCCCTACATAATGTCCTCCTTTGTTTGACACTTGGATTTATGTTTGCCAAGGCAGATAAGGAATTATCTGCCACAACAGTAACATCAAGGTTCTGTTTTCCAAGTTACACTTTTCTGCTTCTGCAACATCATGTGGCTTAAGGAAAGTCTAAAGAATGCTAATCTATAAAAAAAATTATTCTCAGAAAAATTTTCCATTTTTTAATGAGTGGACCAGTCTAATCATATAGTACCAGAACATTTTAAAATTCTCTACAGGCTTCAAGAAAAAGAAAAAAAAAAATGGATATTTCAAGGATGATGAAAACAGTGAACAAACTAAACTCAAATTCGAACATTAAAAAGAAACAAAAAATAACAAAAAAAATATAATAAAAAAATATAATAAAAAATAACATAATAAATTGAAGATCTAACCCAACATAAAAGTGTTATCAGTCTTTAATAAACATTCTCTGTACACCTACCTCAAAAGAAAATCCAGAACACAACGAACCAGTATAATTAATGTAATAGAATAAAGAACATTTTACAGTCAGTTCTTGAGTTTAACATGAATGGTGTTGGACAGACAGTCAATAATAATAATAATAATAATAATAATAATCAGGTGTTGTTTCAGCTTGAACTTTGAAACAAAAGAAATATAGGGAAGTGTGTATTTATAAATACCCACAAGAGCTCACACACATAAAATCGCTCCTCTTTTCATACACAAACTCCTTTCAACTACATCACTTGTTTCCAAACCTTAAACCCAAATAGGATTCACTGATATATACAAGTTAAATAATTTCATTTTTAATAACCAAAATCAAATTTTTTTTTTCTTTTTCTAGGGCATGAAGGGGAACAGGTTGTGTGTGTAGATGGGGGGGGAGGAGATATAAATAAATAAAAACTATTTTCTAATTCACATTTGTTCTTTTTTTTTAAATTTTATTTCCCAAATAATTTTTCTTGTTTATCACCTCCGAAACTCTTTCCTGACACACACACACACCTTGGTGCGAGCATTTTTTATTTAGAAGCCCCCTAGTTGATTATAAATATCAATTGTAAGATACCTATGAAAGTGCCAAATACAATAACAAATGTGTTATATACTTAGTGGCACCCTAAAAAATGCCCAGGTATGCTCTTTTGTACAAATATTAAGGATATATCATGGCTTTTTACCAGGTATGTACAGAATTTTCTTTTCTTTTTTTTTTTTAAATTTCAGTTTAAATAACTTGTGGTTCAAACAATATTTACAACCAACTGAAATCTTTTTCACGAATGGATGAGACATTTGCTAAGATATTTCAGTTCCTCATATTAACACATTTAAATCTTTCAGTGGATTTTTTTTTTTAAATTATATTTATATATAATCAATAACAAAGATATTGTAAAGCCAGAAATGCTATCAGTCAGAGGAAGTCTGAAAGAAAGGACATTTAAGGCAAGCAATCTTTGCAATAAAGTGATCGATATCAGAGATAGAGCATTAATAAGATTAATACAAATATAAAAAGATCATCTAGCTGAATGATTTTATCTTCAGCATCCCAACTCCAATGTTTCATGGATGAAGCTTTTTGTAATTGTTCGGCTCGCTTGTCAGGGGCTTTCAGCAATTTTCTCATTTTTTTTTTTCAATATGAAAATAATGAAAATGTGAAAAATGGCAGCTAATTGCTGAAACTATCTGAAAAGGGGACCAAATTAGTACAAAACAGTTCATCTGCAAAACTCTGGAGTTGAAAGTAAAGGAGGTTGAATATAACATCATCCAGCCAAGTGACAAATTTTATATTTGTATTAATCATATACATATATATCTCAACCCAAAATATAAATTAGTATTAAAAAAATTTCAAGAAAACGTGGTTTCAGGAGAGAAGCAATGTTTTGAACCTGTTATAGACTTCATTAACTTGATAATCAAGTTAACGATTGGCCAAATTCTTAAAAAAAAAAAAAAAAAAAAAAAAAAAAAAGGAAAGACAGAAATTAAAATTTGAATTCATCAATTACTAACATGAAATTTTGTTTAAGACTTTCCTTTTTGCAAATTATGCATACATCTATGATTTTTTTCTGTTGTCACTCTAGTTAAAGATGTCTAAAGAGTTATTACTGATTAAAAACAAAACATAGCATGATATTGGCATCTGATTGTGGGTTCAAATAAAAATATAACAAATTCAGTCATTAAATCAATAAACCAATGAATAATTACCCACATTAACCTAACTTAATAAATCTTTCAATCAGTCTAAAGTCTAAATATGCTTATGAAGAAAGAAATAATTTCATTCTACAAACTGCAACACAAAATGCTGCCAAAAGAGCATTTTGTAAAAGCTTATGTTAAAAAATAGAAAACAATGTTAAAATAGCTGAACATAAAAAAAGAAAAAAGTTAACAAATTTATGTCTTTGTAAGGTAAATTAACCAAAACTATTATCTTGTCTTTAGAGACCATCTTTAGTAAATAAACTATTTAAATTCTAAATAAAAAGAGGTGAATTTTGCTGTTTGTTTTTTAAACTTTTGTAAGTAAACTTCCGTAATAATGAAAAGAAAATCCAAAAGATGTGTGGAGGGGATTGGAAGAAGCTCTGCATTCAAAGAAATACTAAAGAATGTGTTGATATTAATTTGTGTCCAAGACAAAGTAAATTCCAAATTCTGTTTCATGCAATACTCTTGATAACCTTGGATACCAAAATAAATATTGGCATAAAAAAATAAACTTAAGAAAAAAAAAAAAAGGAAAAGAATTCAATATTAAACAAATTAAAAAAAAAAAAATTATTAGATAATATTGTTGGAAAATAAAGATCATCTTTTTCTTTCTTCATGAAAGTAAGCAAGAAAATTATTTAAGTTTATTGAAAGATTAATAGGTATAAGGAGGAAGAAGTAAAAAATAAAATAATCATTTCCCATGATAGTAATCAAGATGAAGAATATGACGACTTTTCAAAGAGATTATAATCATACATACAGATAGAGTCAATATTTTTATTTTACATAAGTCCCATTTATACAGAGTCAAGATAAAATAATCCTTTTTTTTGTTATCCTCTTCATATTAACATATCTATTACAACAATGAGCCCCCAATTCATGCAGTCATTCATACAAAAGAATGTAAACTGCCAAAATAAATTTCAAGGTTCCTTCCTAATATCTAGAATTTGTATGAAGTGTTAAAAAAAAAAAAAAATAATCTGTCTTATAATAGTTGTTCATATATATATATATATATATATTTTCATACACTAAATGTAACAACTATGATGAGTCAGAAGTAGCAGTAAGTGGAGGGTTTCGAGACAAACAAATTAACAGGAAAAATTAAGAGTTTGTCAATGTTCAAATGCTATCATACCATAAAATAGTAAAAATACAAGATTTTTTTTTCCAAATTCAGTTACAATAATCAATCAATAGATCAAAGTTATATTAATCAGAGATCAAAGTTAATGCTAACAGCAAAAATTAAGTTTTGCACTTTAACAAATGCTGATTTTGCAATTGATTTACATATTCATGGATGTTGGTTGTGTGGTGAGAGATCTTGCAGACTTAAAGAAAAAAAGTTTTAAAATTTAATTTTTGCTATTATTCTGATTTTTTTCTTTATCCTTTAATGTCCTTTGCTCATAGAGCAAAAATGTCATTTACAAAACGTAAGTAGAGGAATCAAGAGTGTTTTTGAAAAAAGGGCAATTTTCATACCTATGGGTTATCTTGTCTTTTATGTATATGGACTGACCACAGAGTATGGAATGTGAAAGACTTTCTCCAGAATCTTATATTCGCTCAACAGGCAAAAACTCATAACGCGCCATATATGACAAAGAAGGAACCAACTCTTCCTCTCTCATATGAGACATGACAGCATTTGAGCATTGAGATAAATGGGTGAATAATAAAGTCTAATTAACAAAGACAAGAGGGAGAAAAAGAGAAAGTAAGCAAGAGATGCAAGGGTGGAAAAAGAGAGCAAGAAGACTCACAGAGAGGAGAGAGTGGAGAGAAAGAGAGAGAGCAAGGAGACGGACAGAGGTGTGAGCCTGGAGAGAGCAAGGAGACGGACAGAGGTGTGAGCCTGGAGAGAGAGAAAAGAGACGGACAGTGGAGGTGTGAGCCTGAGAGAGAGAAAAGAGACGGACAGAGGTGTGAGCCTGGAGAGAGAAAAGAGACGGACAGAGGTGGAGCCTGAGAGAGAGAAAAGAGACGGACAGAGGTGTGAGCCTGGAGAGAGAGAAAAGAGACGGACAGAGGTGTGAGCCTGGAGAGAGAGAAAAGAGACGGACAGAGGTGTGAGCCTGGAGAGAGAGAAAAGAGACGGACAGAGGTGTGAGCCTGGAGAGAGAGAAAAGAGACGGACAGAGGTGGAGCCTGGAGAGAGAGAAAAAAGAGACGGACAGAGGTGTGAGCCTGAGAGAGAGAAAAGAGACGGACAGAGGTGTGAGCCTGAGAGAGAGAAAAGAGACGGACAGAGGTGTGAGCCTGAGAGAGAGAAAAGAGACGGACAGAGGTGTGAGCCTGGAGAGAGAGAAAAGAGACGGACAGAGGTGTGAGCCTGGAGAGAGAGAAAAGAGAGACAAAGAGAGCCTGGAGAGAGAGAAAAGAGACGGACAGAGGTGGAGAGAGAGAAAAAGAGACCGGACAGGTGTGAGCCTGGAGAGAGCAAGGAGACGGACAGAGGTGTGAGCCTGGAGAGAGCAAGGAGAAAGAGAGGTGGACTGGGAGAGAGAAAAGAGAGAGCCTGGAGAGAGAGAAAGAGACCAAGGAGAAAGACAGGGGTGGAGCATGGGAAGTAAGAGAGAGGAAGGAGACCGGACAGAGGTGTGAGCCTGGAGAGAGAAAAGAGGACAGGGGTGTGAGCCTGGAGAGAGAAAAGAGAGACAGGGTGTGGAGAGAGAGAAAAGAGACCAAGGGGGGTGGAGCCTGAGAGAGAGAGCAAGACCACAGGGGGGTGAGCCTGGAGAGAGAGAAAGGTGACCGACAGGGGTGTGAGCCTGGAGAGAGAGAAAAAGAGACCGACAGGGGTGTGAGCCTGGAGAGAGAGAAAGAGACCGACAGGGGTGTGAGCCTGGAGAGAGAGAAAAGAGACCGACAGGGGTGTGAGCCTGGGAGAGAGAGAAAAGAGACCGACAGGGGTGTGAGCCTGGAGAGAGAGAAAAGAGACCGACAGGGGTGTGAGCCTGGAGAGAGAGAAAAGAGACCGACAGGGGTGTGAGCCTGGAGAGAGAGAAAAGAGACCGACAGGGGTGTGAGCCTGGAGAGAGAGAAAAGAGACCGACAGGGGTGTGAGCCTGGAGAGAGAGAAAAGAGACCGACAGGGGGTGTGAGCCTGGAGGAGAGAGAAAGAGAACAGAGCCTGGAGAGAGAGAAAAGAGACCGACAGGGGTGTGAGCCTGGAGAGAGAGAAAAGAGACCGACAGGGGGTGAGCCTGGAGAGAGAGAAAAGAGACCGACAGGGGTGTGAGCCTGGAGAGAGAGAAAAGAGACCGACAGGGGTGTGAGTCTGTGAGCCTGGAAAGAGAGAGAGGAGACTGACAGATGTATGAGGGTAGAGAGAGAGAAAATGAGAATAAGTGAAGAGACAAAGAAGTGAGAGAGTAGAGCGTGAGAAAGCAAAAGAAATGTACAAAGGTGTGAGAATGAGGAGATAGAAAACAAATGAACATACAGAGTTGCAATGGTAGAGAGACAGAATAAGTAAAGGTGTACAGAAATGAGAGGGGGAAGGGAGAGACAGAAGCCAAAGCCTCTCTCACACACACACAAAGTAAGGAAAAAAAGTGAAAGCAAACAACTCTAAACTTATGGCAGTGAGAGTGAACAAGATCCTTGTCATGATGCAAAGAGCTCTCCACACTGGAAATATAGTTTCTTTAATGTTTCCTCTTGTAACAATAATAGTGCAAAAGTTATCATTAATTGTTGAATTACATTCTCTTTAATACTTAAGAAAGTTGAGGGATCGGAATTGGCCAGGAAAAGCTTTCCCCACCCGCCCCATCTTGCTTCCAAAATAAACAGTTGTCCTCCATATTCATTTTAGTCATTAAACACACACACACATACAAAAATGTTCAACTTTGAAAATTGTTTTTTCTGAGAGTGAACAAAACTCACTTCTTAGTATGTGTTTAAATTAAAGAATGGATATCACATGGTATATTAATTCTTTCATTTTTTTTTAAGTGTGTGTGTGTGTGTGTGTGTGTGTGTGTGTGTGTGTCTAAGGGAAGTAAAGAATTAAAGCAGTTTGGTTGAATATATGCATTTGTGTGTGTCCATGCCCTGCCTATGTCCAACAGTAGCAGCAGCAGCTCTTTTTTTTGTTCACCTCATAAACTGCAATTGTCCAATGTTATCAAATGGTCAGCAATGTCCAAGTTGGGTCAGTCATTCATTTGGTATCACTTTGAATGTTTGACCAGCACGGATGAAAAATTTCCTTAATATGGATCTCATCTCTGGCTTCAAATCAAACACCATTGTATCACACAGGAATGGGTAATAGACGGACGCGTGAGCACGGAACTGAAATAAGAAGAAACAAGAATTAAAAGACAAGAATGTGTTTAAAAGTATCTGTCTATATTTCTGAGATGAGGTATTATGTTCACTATTTACAATTTTCGGACTATTGTCCTCATCATCATATTTATTACAACGTTTCAGCCGTTGTATGCTCCAGCCTTCTTCAGGTGATAATTTATATCCATTAAACATGGCACGTGGAACTAGAACAGTCTACTCCAGACACATGGCAAATAAAGGGTTCAGTTTGTCAGGACCCAAACACCTGAAGAAGGCAGAGAGATAACTGATAATTTATATCCATTAAAAACGGGAACTAGAACAGTCTAGTGTAATAAATATGGTTCAGTTTGACAAACAAAGATGAGGACAATAATCCGAATAATGTAAATGAGGACAGTGTGAATAATTAGTGTGTTTAATAGGCTTAACAAGTTTTTCAATGATAATAACTTTCTTGAAATTATGATTTCTGCAATCTTGTTTTAAAATTATTGGGTTGACTAGAAAGTTTTGGTTTGTTAAGCAGTTAATTGCAGTAGAAATTTCCATAATTCACAAATGAATCAAAACTGCAAGGATGGAAATTCTTAATACAGACAAACCTCTCATCTATGGACCCCCACCCCTCCAAACTTTGGATGCAACAGACAAAATCTTCAGGCAAAATAAAAAAAAAGAAGTTATGCAAGAAAAAAAAAAAACTTCCAAATCATCAGCGATGTACTTTAAAATTTGCAGGCTTAACGGAACAAATCGTATTAGTTATCAAAGTGACCGATTGGCAGCAGTGGCCGGTCTTTCAATTGTAAACAAAGACGGGTATACAGTACATAAAGCACAATAGATTAGCACGTGCATGAGAAAGTAGCTGTGAGAAATCTATTATTTTGTTTTTTTTTAATTAATATATATTATGTATATATTTATTTATGCCATATACACACACGTTTATAGTATTTACATGATGATCATAACTACTGGTTGTTACTATAGTGGTTTTATAACCCCAAAATAATCCCTTCTGATCTACAGACAATCGACTTTAACAGACCACCATCCCACCTATTAGTCCATTGATGAGAGGCTTATCTGTACCATCTTTATTTGGCTACTGATTAATATGTTTAATTTTCTTTTTTATAAAAAAACTCCGATTATGATTACAAGGGGTTTTAACCAAATTCTTCAGATAACATTTTAAGCAGAGGTTTCATATTAAATGCTAAGTAACTGATAACAATGTCAATGTTTACAAGACACTGACAAATTCTGCTACTGACCTGTTCCTCGCCCATCTTCAAGAGGCGTGTGAGCAAAAGAATGAGCAGACTATTCCAGGATTCCCGATGACTATCCGACTGCAGGGATAAGAAATATTCAAGTGCTTCTTTGCACACACTGAAGAAAAAAAAAAAAATTGAAAGAATAAATGTTATCCCTAGGGGACTCGACTTCAGATAAAGTCAACAGAATGCATCACTTGATATCACAGAGAAAAGATAATCAGCAAAATATAATTAAATACTCAACATCAGACATTAATTTACCTGTACCATCAAAAATGGAAAAATACAAAAATAACAATATTCAAATAATCTTAAAATTGTATCGATTACACTTTCTGCATAATTAATACCAGATTACTATCAAGATAAATAAACATTGCCACAGGTAAGAAAGAATTGTGCTTTCTAAAAGCAACTAGCAGTAGAGCCCGGCGTTGCCCGGGGATGTAACAGTAAGCGATAGATCAAGTATGGACGATCATAAAGACTGAAAAATAAAATTGACAAAGATTATTGTTTAAGGTTGACGGACACGCATGTCTTAATTATTTTTTTTTTTTTTTTTACGAATTGGTCAAACCCAAATTCAAACGAAAACATTGTTTACAATCGTTATGATTTATGGAAATAATATAGTAATTCCATCTACGTTTTACACGCCTGCGAGTTTTCCTCCTTCCTTCCACACTTGTGCGTAAAAAGCATCCGCATCCACTGATTACACCTTCCTTTCTCATTAAGCTAAATATAGTAGTAAACCTTTTCTTTAGTTATTTAAAACTAATTACAAGTTACTGTCGTTTTATCAGCTCCTGCTGATATCACCAATCTAACAAATTTAAATTACTGTTTTTCCCGGACGTCACGGACAAACTAATCGTTTGAGTTCAGTCAGGCTAAAAATTTCGATCCATGAAGTTGACTCATTTATCCCTCATCAGTCATCCTTAAATACAGACAGGGATATCTTACTGACAACAAATAATTCTTCATCCCTTTTGGCTTGTCGCAAATAATTTTCTTCAAGACGATGCAACCAACAACAAATAATTCTTCGTCCCTTTTGGCTCGTCGTAAATAATTTTTAGCAGCAAATTCAATGCCTGATCCCAAAATCTGAGATGATTGAACTTTCTCACGACTGTGAACCTGAACAAAAAAGGGTATAAAAAACAAAAAACAACACAAAAACACTACACACACTTACAATACCCAAATCCACAGTAAGTACTTTTTTTATCTGTGCACATCTACACCTCATGTTAACGAGTTCCTTTTTCCAGAACTTAAAAAAAAAAAAAAAAAAAAAAAAAAAAAAAAAAAAACTTTTCCCGCCTTGTTCACCTTGCTATCCTATTTTGGCGCGGAACATTTTCCCTGATCTTGTGATCTTGTACCACGAGATAATCTATTTGTTTTTCCATTTGATAAAAAAATTACACTTGTTTTGAAAAAAAAAAAAACTTTTCCCTCCTTGTTCACCTTGCTATCCTACCAAAAAAAAAGTGAAGTTTTGTTGAAATCAGTTGAAAAATGTAGATAGCCTTTCTCTGTAATCTTTTACAATTTATGATTTTTACTTATTGAATACAGTAAAAAAAATTGCATATTTTGCGTGTGGTGATTCATAATTAGAATTCTGATTTGAATATATTTTCCACTTGTTGTTTCTAATACAAAAAATATTAACTTTATTTGGGTTTATTAATTTATTACAAGTACTGTGTTCTTTCCTTAATAATTATCATCTTGAAAATATTGTTGTTTTTGTCTATCAGATTTCTTACATTCGGCATTTTTAAATTATTTCTTAAATACTTTCTTTTAAATATTGAATTAATTTCAAATAGAACCAATGCATTATTGATCTGCCTTGTAACAAATTGCAAAGGGAATTGAAAAAACAGCACTAAAGCACGAGAATTATCTTTTCCTATTTTATCAAATCGAAAAAAAAATGATTGATTATCTATCCTTTTTTTGAAAAAAAAAAAAACAATATTTTTAACGAAAATTTCAGACGTGCTAAGAACGATTAAAAAATGTAAAAAAATACCTCAAAAATACTTTTGATCTTTCCTCTTTAATAATAATATGAACATTAGACGATAAAATTTTGTTTTTCGTCAAGTTCGGCTTTTTTTTTTTTCATCATGCTATGCTCTTTTGTTTACATTTTCGTGGGTGAGTTGTCCCCCTTTCATTCTCACTATGTGTCTTAATCGTGTTTTCAAATTGATTTTGTTTAAAAAAAAAAAAATGTGTTTTTCCCATTTTCGGCGCCGTAAGAACCACCACAAGGTAATTTTATGTAGTCCTGTGAAGTTTTGTTGAAATCGGCTAAAAAATGTAGGAAATTCGATCCAATATATAAACATTACAGACACACACACACACACACAATCTGCGTTTTATAATAAGTAAGATATAGTGGTAATAGGATCTCCCCTACTTAAAAATGATATATTCAGAAGTTGTGGTAATACAAGGGATATTTGCTTATTGGCATCAAGTAATACTTCCCACCACCTTGTTAACAATGGAATATCTCATTACCAAGAAGGCAAGCTCAAACTTCACAAATAAATATATAGTCACAAATACAGGGGGCGATGGTTAAATTGTCGTCTAACCAAAAATGAAAATAACACTGACATTTCATTTTAACAGTTATATTTACCAAAATTACACCAAAAAATCTTGAAATACTAAAGGGTAAATTTATTCAATAAAATTGCCATTGACTTCAACTACTGCCTCCAGACGACTTTGGAATCTCCTGCATCTCTTCTGGACAGTCTCCTTGTTTAAATTGGTGAATGCTGCCATAATCCTTGCCTTCAGTTGATCTTTGGTGTTACAAAGATTTTTGTTTGTCTCTCACTCAACTGCGCCCCACACATAATAATCAAGTGGGTTGCAGTCTGGAGAGTTAGGTGGCCAGACGTAAGGGGTGATGTGGTTGCAGAAATTAATTGACAGCCATGACTGGATTCTCCTGCTTGTGTCGCATAGTGCAGAGTCCTGTTGCCAGATATAAAATCTTCCAGCAGTCACCCTCTTGATCCAGGGCAGCACTATCTCCTCAAGGCACTTGATGTCGTCCTCTGTGTTGAGTCTGAGGTCCTATGTGAAGATGAATAGAAGCATAACATTGCCATCACTAGTGATTTCTCCAAACACCTTTGTAATCACCATTAGACTCATCCAACTCTTTCCAAATCTTCTGTGCTGTCCTGATTGACACCCAAACACTCTGAAATGTTTTCAGTGGAGCTTCAAGCACAAATGTGAATGAATACAGTATGTAGTTTCCAAATTTCTGGCAGAGTGAATTGCTTAATTTTAGTAACTTTTTTTTTAAATATCTTGTTTTCTATGTGGGACATGTAATAGTTAGGGAAGCACGGACTGAGAGGATTTCCTATACTTACTCCATTAGGTTGAGTGTAAATTTTGCCGTTATGTTCATGGAAGGAGACTTTAGTTGTGCAGGTATGCAATAATTTTTTGCGGAATATGAGATTTGATGGATGGAGGTGGAATTGAATTATTTTTATATACAGAGTTAATGATTATATCAATGGTTTCATTGATAGAAACATTTGTAAATAAATTTTCTGTATCAAGTGACAATAGACTGCCTTGTTTGTTTCGTAGTTTTAAGGATTTGGGCAAATTCATGAAAATAAAATATTCTGATAACTATATACATATATAAAACAATCCATATATTCAATTCAAAGTAAAATAAAATTCATCCTTGATAATGGCTAAAAATATAATAATAGCTGGTCGATCATATCCAAGGATGCCTGTTTACCAGTGCAGCTAACCAATCCCCATTGCAGACGCCTACTCAGGCACATTTGTGTTTGTTCAACAGCCACAGAGCCCACCTGTGGTTTATACAGCAGCTATGCTGAGTGGACCTTAGTTACAGTTTCTGGGAGAGAGCACATTATCTGATATGATCAACAGCCTGAACATGGCCAGCATGCACAAACCCTCAGTCTCGATGACTTGTGACTTCATGCTAGCACAACCATCAATGGCTCCTAAACAGTTCTGTGTACACAATTTCACTCAAAAGGCTTGAGGAACCCTATGGTATGGTCTTTCAGGCACTTACCAAAAGGTGCTGAACACTAGGATCACCTCCTCCAGATTGATAATATCAAGAAGTCACCTTCCTGACAAATTGACTATGGTGAAATTCAAATCTGGGTCTTATGGTAAGAAAGTGAATGTTTTAACTACTTAGCCATGTTATATATAAAAAGTAAGAGAAAAGCCAAAATATTCAATGAGCACAATATGAGACCATGTATCTTGCTGGTGACAATTTAATTTGTTTTTTTTTGTTTTTTTTTGTTTTTTTTTTGTTTTAAAAACAGACACAGATATCTGTTGTATTAGAGTACTTTCATATTAACATTTCTTCAAATCTTTACAGAAGTCACCTGACAAAAAAAAACAAAAAACAAAAAACAAACAAACTACGTTCGATATTTTGAAAGATAGCAAAAAGCATCTAAAACAGTTCTTTGCTGAGAAAGATAAAGCTCAGGGAAAATAGAGTCATGTGCGTTGTTTTTTTAATATATACATATATACACACACATATATATATATATATATATATATATATATATATATATATATAAATAAATGAACATTTGTCAAGAGGCAACAGGCTGTTTCATGTGAGAAGCAATCATCAAACTGCCTGTCACTTGAGTGTTGACTTCAAATGTTCACTTTTATATTTACATACGCTCTATCTCTGATATTGAGCACTTTATCCCATAAATATATCAAATCTTAAAACTAATATATATATATATATATATATATATATATATATATATATATATATAATGTGCCTTTTATAATAATAATTATTGCTCCATCTCTGACAGAGCTCTCTCTGGATTTATATCCTTTTGGAAATATCCATACTGATCACTATATATATATATATATATATATATATATATATATATATATATATAGTTGTGTGTCTCAAGGAGATATGTTTTTCAAAGCTCAAAAAAAAAAAAAATTAATAGATTTTAAGTTTAATTGAAAGAATGTAAATATTGCTTAAGAGCAATATAATTCAACATAAATTGCAATTATTATTTCCTTTATTTATTATATACATTATGATTTTTATATTTATTTGAAGTTATATAATGTATTGTTTATTATTATTTTTCTCAGCTTTTCCCACAGTTATTGGGTTTTTCTGTATTAGTATTTATTTGTTTTTGTACAATTAACATGAAGATCATTTGTCTTATTTTAACTTTGTTTTTGATTAACTAAGGTTATATTTATCAATTTTGCATTTTCTGCTCTTGTTCAATTTTAATAATTGATAGTTTAGGTACTAGTACTGCCAAGGTAGTATAAATTATTTTATTGTATGTTATATAAATAATGACTTCATAATATCTGAGTATTTTAGGTTTAAATACTGATTTATATTTTCATTTTTTCTATCTTCTATCTTTTTTTCTAAATTAACAAAGTTTTCGATACTTGTATTTATGTGCAACTATTTCATAATTTGTCTTGCTTTCTAGTGTTTTGTTTAGTTTTATATATTTAAAAAACTTAATATTTTGGGGAGATTCTTAAACATACACAGTATATAATGTTTACATACGTACATTAAATATGTTAAAATGGACAATCTCCCACCATCAACCAATGGCATCTCAAACAGCCTCTTAGTCCAGCTCCAAGCCTGAAAATGGATGAAGCCAAACAACTGGTGCCTAACTGCTGCTTAGAGAAGATAGTGCTCGCCAGCCCAAGAAGGCTGTCCATCAAGGGGAGGGAAAAACCCCCGATTTTTAAACCTCTGCTGCCTTGTGATTATATCCAAACACAGAAAAGACTATGGAAGTAAATGCAGATAAAAAACCCCAGAGTGGAGCCCTGAAGGCAGTTGGCTGTCAACACCGATAACTTTCCAGCAATTCCTGCAGCCAAGCCATCCCTAAATGTAATCCCTGGATATAGGTTTGGAGGAGGGAGGGGGGGCTGGCATGAAGTCTGGGCAGTGCATGGCCTCCATATAGCATCATCTAGGCCTGTGTCTTAGAGAGGTCCCTCCAGTCTAACCAATAATGGACTTAGTCCAAATAGGACACTACCTTTATCCTACAAGATAAACACATGCTGACTAATAATATATATATATATATATACACACACACAGATATACACATTATGAAATGGATTAAATATGACAATTATTTAATATATTTTCTGTTTATACATTATTTTTAAAGATACAGTGTAACCCGGATATAAGAGAGTTGTCGGGACCGGAGAAGAAGTCTCTTATATCCGGGTTTCTCTTATATCCGGGTTTGGTCTATGTATACATTAACACAGGCTCTAATTTGGGACCAGAGAAAATCTCTCTTATATCTGGTTTACACTGTATAATTTAAGTAAATGCTCTGTTTTTAATTAAATAGTATTAATTATATTTATCGGCCTGAATGTTCAAGAAATTTCACAGAAAATATGCACTCTCTAACAGGAATCAAACCTGTAACCCTTATGGGAACCATCATATAACCTGATATGCCATTACCATTCAGCCATAAAAGGTGTATGTTTATAAACAGTAATTCAGACTTTGCTAACCAGGAGCTTCTCTGTTGCTGAATGATAACAGCATATCAGGCTATGTGACAGTCTCCATAAGGGTTACAGGCTCAATTCCCGTCAGAGAATGCATATTTTCTACAAAATTTCTCTAACATTCAGGCTGGTAAATATATAAATATAATACTGTTTAATTAAAAACAAAGCATTTATTTAAATAAACTATATCTATAAAAATAATGTATAAACAGAATATACATATATATATGCGATTACTGTATATAAACCTATAGTTTAACAAACAAAAAGATAAATAAAATTAAGTGTCATGATTCAAGTAAATTTGGAACTTTTTTTTTTCTTTTACCATATTAATTTTTTCTGTATTTCCTCTTTGGAGCTGGTTCGATTTTCATCTTTGTTCATCCTAAACAATATCCGTAACAAGCAAGCAAGGCTCTGTGTCTCTTGTTTCAACAAGTTGGGTTTGGCTTTACCTTTGAAACCTGAAAGACCAAAAGGGAATATTATTATTACTAGTGTATCTGTGCCATCAAAAATGTTGACAATTGTTAGAAAGGTTTAATAGCGTGATGCAATGAAATAAAAACCTTGAAACAATGCATTGAGATCCAATAAAGAATTTACAACTAAAAAGAAGGCCAATAAACCATTTAATTAATCTGTTCCCTTTATATTTTGTAGACATTCAATGGTATCTATGATTCATTGATTACTTCTGGTATTATATAAATCACTTTTTGCTCAATATCTTTTCATTTTTAAAAATGTGTGTGTTTAACAGTGAATTGGAAATATTTTTCAGAAGAAAAAATTAGCAACAGAACAAAAATACAGCAACAACAAAGCCTATTTCAAAACCAAGACAAAAAAGACGAAGGTATCAGTGTGTTGTAATGTTGTCTTTGTTCAAAATAGCCAAGAATTAAGGCCATAGTTAGAGTACCGATGGTAGACTAGGTAGAGGAAACAAAGAAGAGGGTTATTAAATACTCAAAGCAGAATACATCAAATACTACTCAAATCCTACACTAATGTGGCTACTTGCCATATTTATAAATAGGAGCAGTCCATTGTCATAGTAGTAAGGATGAGTAGGAAGTATGAGAAATCCTACTATACAACAGAGTGCTTTACATGAAAGGCTTGAACAAGTAAGACTGCAATCTAAAAATCATAGGAGAAATGGAAGTGATTAATTAAACAGTTCATTTTGCTCGGGAACTAATTTTGACTAAACATACATTAAAACAACTGAGAAGTAATCCCTCATAAATTTCCCATCTGTCGTGAGATGTAAATCATCTCACGACAGATAGGACAGGAAATATATAAATACACATTGATAAATATTATATGGTTTGATCATTATTAATAATAATGCCAAAGACATTTGTATCAGCTTCCCAAGATATGCAGTACACAATTGAGAAATATTACAACTCATTTTTATTAATTATGAAGATTAACCCTGACAAAACAAATATATAAGAACAGAGTCCACAACTAGACACAGACAAAGGAGACAGAGACCCTTCCTACTTTAAACTGATCCAAGAAAATTGGCTCCCCACAAACAATAAAAGAATTTAAAGATAAAAATTGTTTTGTTACTCACCAGCTTTCCATAAGATATTACGTTGTTCATGATTGGAATTGAAGGCTTTAGCAAATTTATGGGATTCCAAAAGACAATCAGATAGAAGAAAGAGTTGATCATTGTTGAGGAAGGGGTACATGCCTTGGTCCTCTTTCTGCTGGCTGCCATCATCTGAAGGGCTGCCACCTTCGCTCCAATTTGCCTGTAAGGCATATACATATAAATTAAAATAAAGTTAACTTGAAAATTATGAGCACAAAAATAAAAGACAAAAATACCTTCTGTATATACTCATGTCTGCTTATGTATAGTGCGACTCCTGAATTTATTTATGAAAACCCCACTTTTTCTTTTTAATATATATATATATATATAGCTGGTTAATAATGGGACCCTGGTTTTTGAGCAATACTAGTATGCCTACGGTAGTCAAATATTGCAATACTGGACATTATTCTGGACATATTCTATAGCAAATAAATCATCTTCATTCTGTTTGTACAAAGCTATTTTAAAATGGTGAGAAAAACCACTTACCATAAAATAACCAATACAAAGATTTAGATACCATACTTTTGTTTTTGTTCATACCTGAATATGGTAGCTCCTTTACCCTAGGCTTACCTCCTACATAACCTAAGTTTCTTCCCTTTTGTCTAGTGCAACCAGTCACCAAAAATACATGATTTTTAACATCTTCAAAAAACAAAATTATCTGTGTATAATGTGACCCCCATTTTTTGCATAAAAAACTGATCATAAAAACTCACACTATACTCAAGTATATACAGTATGCAAAATAGATTAATTCACATGAGTTGTTCCCCTTTGACACTTCCAAATATATGGTATAGCCTTACCCAGCATGAAAAGTAGTAGCCACATCATTATCAGTCACATAGAGAACAAAGTAGGTTAAATAAATCAAAGTTCTCTAATTTTAAATTTGTATTCCATACTCAGCCAAACTCTTTACAAACAAATCAAACAATAGAGTTCAAATACAAATGAAAGCTTTGCATATAGTCTTTTCTTACATTTTTTTTTTACAATGATGTTCACCCTGCACAAGGCCCAAGAGCCATGCAAGGTAGAGGATTACAAAGTAAGTGGTAAAGAGCACAGTTTATGAGGATATGTGAAAAAGATAACAGTTAATCCAAAGTAGTATTTGTGTAAAGATGCTGTTTGAGTGGACCTTACTTATCACCAATGGAATAAGAAGGGAAAGTTACATGAAAATCAAAGAGTGTTTGTCTGAACACTTTCCATGGAAATAACAACAGAGTAGCAAGAGGCTTGTAACATTTTGTGTGGGGGAAAGGGGCTGTAGGGTGGAAAATAATTCATCATGTACAAGAAACTTTTGAACTATCGAGATTGGAAGGCGATGATTGGGGAGCTCCTGCCCATGTATGGCAGCAGTGCTTCAATTGTCAACCTGATATCTAAGTATTAGAATGAATGCATTGTAAGATTCACTTTTTAATATTGTATAAACCACTTTAATGATCTTGACCTGGAGGAAAATCTTACCATATTCAGTTTTTATAGGAAAAGGTTTAAGAAAGGCAATCTTTGTAATATGCAAGGAAAATAACTATTAACCATCAATAGAGACATAAAAAGCAAAAATTAATAATCAGATACACTTTACAATGTAGTGCATCACACTATTTACGTTAATTGTTAAGATTAGTATTTAGTAATGGTACTAAAAGGAAAATTATTGGGCAAGGTAAATTGTATAGATTTTAGTTATAGTGTCTACCAAAAGTCAAACTTTTACACCAAAAGCTAATTTTATGTAGTCATCTTAAAGACTATATCTAACTTTACACACACTATATATATATATATATATATATATATATATATATATATAATGAACAATCTCTATATTGCTTAACTTTAGTGATCAGATGAGAACTGCCATTTCAACATATGGCCATAAGCAACCTAGATAGGTAACTACTTCTTGGAAATACCAGATACTGTAATTGTAGATGTGTAGGTGGTATGGTGGATAATGGCTCAAAGGTAGAAGTTGGAGTGCCAAGTTTGGTTTGTTACATTCCCTTATATGGAAATACCATTGAGAAAAGTATGAATCCATCTCTTCTCCTTCCAGCTATGGGTAAATAGCAGGACAGACTAAACCTGATAGCCTTTGTTGGCATCCAGACTAGAAGAAGGAAAACAGAATTCAAACCATCCTTGAGAGGCTTGATACAGAGTAGATGAGCTTCTTATAGAAGCCGACATGCAGCTAGATGGAAAACTCTTATTCAAAAAAAACCTCTGATTGTGTAGCATCATCTGAGATGTGGCAGACAATGTACCAGTAAAGGATATAGTGCTATGACAGAGAGAGTTGGCATTAAAAGGCACAAGCAATTAACCATTTTAAATAATTTACTTGTGCAGGTTGTTCAATAAAATCCCTCATCCATTGTTTTGAACAGAAGAATCCATCTCTATATCCCATTATCAATACGATTTAGCTTTTGTTTCAGATGTTATAATGGCAGATAGAAATACTGAGATTCTGGCAGAGAAATACAACTCTAAATTCAAAACTCGATATAACCCTAGTGAAAGCACATACTATGCAGTTAATGAAAGGATCATTGAGTTTACAATGACTGTGATCCCAACTGCAATCAACCTTGATTGGCTCTGTGGGTTCATAACGGCTTCAGTAATCACACAGACAACAACTATCTTGTTAACTAAACTCTCTAAAAAGGAAACAACAAAACAAGGCAGAACAACCCAATACTTTTGTATAACTCAGGCTGGACTATGAACTTTCCAGTAGTCACTTGTAGTTTACA